TGGCAAAACCCGGCTGCTCACTGTGCGTCTGTGGTCACCCGATGTGCACAGAGTTTTCCATTAAATCCAGGCTGTAAGATACCTGGAGATAAAGTGGAGTTCATTAGAGCGACTTTGGGGTCGTCATTTTTATCTTTATCATTTGCACTCTCAGCTACTTAACAGGCACCCAAAGGAAGCCACAGAAAACATCTTCTGGTCCTTTAATGGTTTTCTCTTTTGTTTGGGTTTTGCTCCTGAACACAATGCTAGCCTCATCTAATGAACCGGGGACTTGGGGAAATACTTCCTGCTTGCTTTGTTGTGCATTCAGCCGTGGATTACCCTTCCTGTCTTGTTCTCAAACACTGTCAAGTCCTTCAGACCATTTTAAGCAAAACGCAGAGGTAGAACATCTGTTTTAAACTACTCAGACAGGTCTCTCCCACTGTGTTTCAACCCAGTTTGGAGTCCAAAGGCAAACTAATACTCAACATTTCTGTTCTAAATATCATGAGGCCCTTTCTTTTTGAGGCATTTGTCACCCCCAAGGATCCATCTTTAGATCCATCTTCAGATCAGGCAATATAGAAGACATACTGAGAAAGAAAATTAAATGGAATATGGCTGGTGGCAGCTTGCTAAAGCAATCTGGAGATAACCCATGACAGAGAAATCATTTACATGGGTAAAGGCTGAACATTGATAAAACCGTAACATCTCAAGAAAATAACCAAATCCTCTGTTTCTGTGGTCTGATGTGCAACTGAAAAAGGTAAAGCTAGACTGATTATATGGCTTATGAAATGCTGTATTTTATTTAAAAGTTTATATTTCATTCTATCCTTCTACATTGAAAGAAAAACTGAAGATGCACAAATCCCCAGTATTCTGCCAGGAACTGATTATATCAAGGACACAAATACCTTGACTTACATATTTTAATGTGATGTCATTCCATAATTGCCAGGCACCTAAATCCAGGTACATGCCTTTAATCTGATTGTAAGAATGCATTCTCAAACCATTAGTGGATACTTTGCGGCATTTGAAAAGACTTGCTCCCTGGAAGCTTGAAAATATTATTGTCCAAAAAAACTCCTAACCACCTCAAAGGCTGAGAAACCCACCTCATAATTTAGAGATAATCTATGTCATTGAGTCTGCAGTATTAAAATAACACATCTGTAAACAAGGGAAGAACCAGCCTTTGTTTTGCGTGGTGTGTTCCAAATTCATAATTGTTCCCTGTTTGCAGAAACTGCCAGCTCAGCCCTGTTCCAGACTTCTGGCTTGCAGCAACAATAGTGTATCACAGGAGGTCATGAATTCCTGAGAATCAAAGTCAATAATTCAAAGCACTTCTGCTACATTTCAATTTTGCACCAGAGGATACTTTTGTACTGAAAAATGCTTGGGTTTCCTCAGGACTGTTAAATATTCTCAATACACAGTCTTTGTACTGATAACACCAAACCAACAATACCTGGAAAAAGTCTCTTTGGGATCTCCAATCCCTTTGTAGCTTCGGTTAACTTCAGAAACTCATTCCTTGTTTATCTCTTAAAAAACAAAAGGAAGCCTGAGGAAGATAAAGGCTTCCTCTCTGTCTCCTGTGTGAAAGGGTGGGTTTAGATTGGATATCAGGGAAAAGTTATTCACAGAAAGGGCTGTCAAGCATTGGAACAGGATGCCCAGGGAAGTGGTAGAGTCACCATCCCTGAGGGTGTTTAAAAGATGGGCAGGCATGATGCTGAGGGACATGGTTTAGTGGAGGTTTTGGCAGTGTTAGGCTGATGGTTGGATCTGATGATCTTAAAGGTCCCTTCCAACCGAGACAATTCTACGATTCTATGAAATTCTGCAGACTTAGCCCTACACATTTTTGTAAGAAAACACAACTCTTTGAGTGACTGATGGATGGAGAAAATGATTCAGTTCATATCTGCATAAATAGAGTTCCCAGCACTCCAAAATGAAGGATTTCACCATTTTTTCTGCTCAAGGTTAAATTTCAACTTCCACATAAGCCCTATTTAGAGTCTGAAGCATACGTTGTAGGTCTCTGGAGCTCCTGTTTCTCTTCTGGGATGAATTGTCCCCATTACAGCCCATGTCAAATACTACTGGAAAACACCACTGACTCCCAAGGGTGCCGTGGCCCCCAGCTGTAGGTGGGGAAGCTAAAACACACAGAAACCACCCCCGACCTTTCTGCATATCACATTGATAGTGTTAACTTCTGTCCTGTCAGGTTGTATTATGAATTATATGTACTTAAACAAAAATCCTGTTTATGACAGCAGTTTGTACTTCTGGTAAACCCATGAGACACTCTCCAGGTGTTAAGTTAATACAAGAGGAGCTGGCTTCATAATTTCTGTTGTAAATTCAAGGAAGTGACTGGAATGATGCCAGGTGTTAATTTTCCCCAAGTCGTCACAAGATGAAAGTTTTCGCTATAATCTAAAGTAGTGTTTAGGTCCTTACTACAAACAAATTTGAAAGGACTCATAAACCCCAATAATGAACACAGCAATTTCATCATCTCGATGGGTTACATGTGTTTGAAATTGGGGCGGGCAACCAATGTTGATCTTGTACCTCCAGCTGCTCGGATATAAAAGCTCTTCTCTCTCACAGCTCTTCCAAACACTTCTCTTGACTTCTTGGTGACTTGGGTAAGTCTGATTCTGCTCTATTGCTGCCAATGTATCTTTTTTTGTTGCTCATTTCAACTTCAGTTGATGTCCACCATCCATACTGTTGAGTGTATCTGCATTGTCTTGGGACAGAGATTCTAATGCTGGCTCTGGGGTGGCAGATACACCTATTTGGTGTGTGGGGCTCTCTGCAGTTCTCAGAGTCAGAAACACTGGACCCTGGAGTGACTGGACAATGGTTTTAGTCATCTGTCTTAGTTTTAGGTAGTCCTGCAAGGACCAAGGAGTTGGACTCAATGATCCTTATGGGTGCCTGCCAGCCTGAGATATTCTATGATCCTTACTTCAATGCATTTAACTTATTCCAGAATTTGCATATTAGGTTCATCATTTAATACAGGCATCACCACTGCAGCCATTCATGCAATCTGAGGTGAACGAGCGGTGCATCTGGGAAAGTTGTGTGTGTTGTCCCAGTACAGCAAATCTTCTGGCTGTCCTTTACTTTTTTGCTTTCATATTGTTCCTCAGAACATTGCTGAGGACTTGCAGGACATAGTGGGTGGAGAAGAGTAAAATCACGCTCAGAGAAATTAACTAAGTTTAGAGGGGAAAATAAGGGATGAATTCTTGGGTTTACCAAGGATTACTTGTTTTTCCAAGGAATAATAATTTGAAATGAGTTTTTTGAAAGACATTAGGGACTAAAAAGCTTTTTATATTGAAATTGTCCAGGCTGTATCCATATGGTGGCTGTATAGGTGGGAACTGGGATAATAACACAACTATCTGTCCTTTATTGTCTTGTCAAACAGCTTTCTGAGCAATCTGGGCAGTGACAATCCTATAATCTGTTGTTCCGACAACTCTCATCAAAACTGGGATGAGTGGGAAGAAGAAGCTACTGTAATTAAGTTATATATAAACTAGATCTCCTGTAAACCTCCTGAACCCAAATCCAAGCTTTCCGAGTGACTCATAAAATGCCCTTGGACAAAGTCACTCTGTTCTCTCTGTCTTTGCTTCTCAGTTTTCAGTTTAATGTATATAAATATATCTAAGATCTTCGCAGGATGTTCGTGAGGGACACCACTTTCAGAGTTAGGCTTAACATCTCCCATATGCTTCTGTATGTGTAGATATTTAGAGAACTTTCAAAAATCTGCTTTTTGAAAAATGAGGGTTATGATTGCAAAGTGGGAAATCAATTTATTTACTCAAAATCCTGTATTCGTTACTTCAATGTAAATTCTTGAATTTTGAAGTCTTTGTCTTCTACTTACTCTAACCATTGGCATGTGTTGCAGCTTACCTCCATCCCTGCGAGATGGCTTGCTACGACCTGTGCTCCACCTCCGCCTGTGGCGTCTACCGCCCCCAGCCCCTCGCTGACAGCTGCAACGAGCCGTGCGTCCGTCAGTGCCCAGACTCCACCACTGTGATCCAGCCACCTCCAGTCGTCGTCACCTTCCCCGGCCCCATCCTCAGCTCCTTCCCCCAGGATTCGGTTGTGGGATCCTCTGGAGCACCCGTCCTTGGGGGCTACGGGGGCTATGGCTCCCTGGGCTACGGGGGTCTGTGGGGCTATGGGGGCTACGGCTCCTCCCTGGGCTATGGGGGTCTGTACGGCTATGGGGGCTCCCTGGGTTACGGGGGTCTGTACGGCTACGGTAGATCCTATGGCTCTAGCAACTGCAACCCTTACTCCTACTGGTCCAACAGGTACAGCCGTGGGATCTGTGGGCCCTGCTAAACACACAACTGAAATATCCCCTGAGTAAGGAATAACCGGCAACTGCGAGATACAATCTTGATCCACAGCAGTGGTCTCCAAGGAGATGTTGTGAAGTCCTGATTGCTGCCACCCCACTGCAGTGGAGCTGGGAGCATGGAACATGTCTTTAATTTCTTCACCCTTTACTCATGGTCTTTTGGGCTTTTTTCCATCTATATATATAATGGGTGGGGTAAAACAAGTAATTTATATTCTTATAAAATGGCACTTCACTGTCCAACTGAATAACAACAATTATGGAAGGAATTGCCTGCACCCTGATGCATATTCTTGATATTCTACAATGCTTTTCTGTGAATGTCTATTTCTCATTAAAGTGACTCTACTCTGCATCAAACAAATCAACTTTTGGTTTTAATTTCTTCTGCTATGGATATACAACCATCCTCTCTGTAGATGGGGAAAACTCACATCCTTACATAGAATGAGGCTCAGACTCATCTGAGTGCGATGAGGCCGCACCTTGAGTACTGTGTTCAATTTTGGGCCCTGCAGTATAAGAAGGACATTGAGGTGCTGGAGAGGGTCCAGAGAAGGGTGATGAAGCTGGTGAAGAATCTTGAGAATAAGTCTTATGAGGAGAGGCTAAGGGACTTGGGGTTGTTTAGCCTGAAGAAAAGGAGGCTCAGGGGAGACCTTATTGCTCTCTACAACTACCTGAAAGGAGGTTGTAGAGAGGTGGGCATCAGTCTCTTCTCACAAGGTACAACTGATCAGACAAGAGGAAATGGCCTCAGGTTGCATCAGGGGAGGTTTAGGTTAGATATTAGGAAAAACTTCTACACTAAAAGGGTTATCAAAGACTGCAACAGGCTTCCCAGGGAAGTGGTTGAATCACCATCCTCGGATGTATTTAAAAGCCATCTAGATATGGTGGTTTAGAAGTGGACCTGGTAGAGCTAGATAATGGTTGGACTTGATAATCTTAAAAGTCTTTTCCAGCCATAATGATTCTATGGTTCAAAAACATAGCTGAAACGGGCCAGCTCTCAATGAAGGCAATCACCCTTTGTTGCCCTCAGTGCACACATTTGGGAGCAGGGATCCTCCCTCCCCAGCTGGCCTGGGTTACAATAATAGCCTTGTGTTTAGAAAGAAACCACACAAACCCTCCATTCCCTAATGAGCCATTTGAACGACTTTGCTGCTTATAGCAGGAACAGAGCTGGTGGCTCAGCTGAGGCTGGATTCAAAGCAGATTGTGGGGAAAAGGGTGGTAGATGAGGCCCACATGTGGGAGGGATGGTTCTGAATCAGAAGGGATTTAGGTAGGTGGGGAGAGAGTGGTGAAGGGCTTTGGCATGGAGCTGTGGAGAGGGAGAGGGAGAGGGAGAGGGTTTCTTCAGCTGCAACAAGGAAAAGAGCTCCTCAGAGGTAGGTAGGCTGTCTCTATCTAATGGGCCTTCTGGATGAGGAATAACATGGGACAGGCTGAAAGTTAAAGCTGCTGAAAATGAGGGGTTCTCTTGTGATGATTTCCTATGCAGGAGGAGTTGGGAAACACAACAGTGTTGAGGATATGTGTCTGGGCTTAGGACTTTGTCTACCTTTTAAGCTTTCCAGGCACCATAACTCTGTTCTGTCTGTTCTAGGCATTCTTGCTGGCGTACCTGTATCAGCCTTCAGGGCAGCCCTATGGAGTAGATGGTTTTCTGTCCAAAAAACATCCAACACCTCAAATTTCACAATTATACAGAAAGACCATTACCCACGCTTCAGATTTAAAAGTTCTGGTGTCCAGTCCAAAAAACTTCTTTCTTTATGGATTTGCCAGAAAATTAGTTCAACTTTCTGCAGAGCCTGTTACTGAGGACAGAGATCAAGTATTTGAGTGAGAATCTAAAGTTCAAGGAGACTTGAACTTCAAAGGAGATTTCCAAGACTAACTTGGAAGAAATTCTTACTGAAGTCTAATGTTTATAGGATGGAGTTTAAAATTAATAAGCTACTGTTTTGTTTCCCTACCACTGCTAATCTGTAACCAGCGGATGTACAAGCAAGAAGCCAAATTCTTGAAAAATGTCGAGAATCTTTATCTGAAAAATGGGGAGGGCAAGACCGTAGTTTCTTCTGTGCTGAGGGCTTTGCACTGCCTCTGTCCATTTGAAATCTCTGATTTTTTTTGGTAGGACTTTCATTTACATAGTTTAGACTGTTACTGTCAGCTGCACAGCTTAGACTTCTCCGAAGACAAATAACAAGGGTAAAAACATGAGAAAAGAACACCAGAACATGGCAATTTTGATGCAATAAATTTTTAATGATAGTGAGGAAAGGAATACATTTTCAGAGTCTCCAAGAAGCATGAAACTGTTCTCCAGTCAGGGGTACATTCACATATGTTTGATCTTTTTTTTTTTTTTTCCTTCTTCTTTTGTCCTGAGTCTTAGCTGTTGATTTGAACAAGCAGGAACCATTTTGACCAAGTTTGTTATATATTTACTGCAGGCAATATGGAAATGTGACAGGAGAAGCATCAAGGCAGAAACTGAAAGTAGAAGGGAGAAATTCAAAAGGTGCTGAAGGGGTACAGCTCCGTGGTCTTGGAACAGAAGAGCAGAGGCTCAGACCTCTTTAGCTGTGAAACCATTACACCTCATTTGTCAGTTATACCTCACTGGAGATATTTCTGTAGGATCTAGCAGGGCCCGCAGCTCCCACGGCGGTACCTGCTGTACCGGTAGGAGGAAGGGCTGCAAGAGCCAGAACTGTAGGATCTACCATAGCCATACAGACCCCTGTAACCCAGGGAGGAGCCCCCATAGCCCCCCAGACCCCCATAGCCCAGGGAGGAGCCCCCATAGCCCCCCAGACCCCCATAGCCCAGGGAGCCATAACCCCCATAGCCAAGGGAGCCCCCATAACCCCCAGAGCCCCCAAGGATGGGTGCTCCAGAGGACCCCACAACTGAACCCTGGGGGAAGGAGCTGAGGATGGGGCCGGGGAAGGTGACGACGACTGGAGGTGGCTGGATTACAGTGGTGGAGTCCGGGCACTGACGGACGCACGGCTCATTCCCGCTGTCAGCGAGGGGCTGGGGGCGGTAGACGCCACAGGCGGAGGTGGAGCACAGGTCGTAGCAAGCCATCTCGCAGGGATGGAATTCAGTCTGTAAAACATGGTCATTTTGGTTAACAATAAATAAATATCAAACATCAGGTTATGATGAAGCAGTTCAACAGGGTATCAGTACTAAATCTGAGAAGTAAATGTATTTTCTATAACTATTTTTCCTAGCACTGTAACCTGGAGGCTAGTTTTGACTTTAGTATGACAAAGTCATGTCCTGTTCAATTGTATCTTTGGTATTTCCAGATGAGCTACCCTTGATAGTATTACACTACTATTAGTTGGTGGTTTCTATTAATTAAGTTTGATCTTCCCTGTTATAAACTCAACAGAACTCTGCTAAATGCAGCCATATCCAACCATGTATATCAACTATTCTTTATCTGTTACAATAGTCAAGGAATTCTTTAAAGTGCTAAAACATTACAAGTTTGAGATTCAATACTGCTTTATATAACCCTCTTCTGTAGCCTATCTTTACAGGACCTGGTAACAAATGAGAAGACAAATATGATTTCCAGCAGCAAATAGTCTACAGATCACTGGCAGCAACTGAAGAGGACTTGGTCCTAAATTCAAGTCATGGGTTCTTGACAGCAAGATCAGTTTAGCAAAGTCTGAGAGAAATCTGACTTACCCAATTCACGAAGGCGAGTGAGACGAGAGAAGTGGATAGAAAGACCTAATGCAGTGAGCTTTTATACAGCTCTGTCGATTGCCTGGAGGACATTAGGCATCCTATGCGTGAGTTCATAATTAGGTACCAACCCCAAATTGTAGGACACGTAGTTTCTCAAAGTGCTGAAATTGTTTTTGCTTATTGCTTGTGCGTTGCAGGCGCTTCAAACCCACACATAGCGTGACATGCACACTGCACCACAAACCTCTTTATTATCTCCTGGCTTTACACATGGAATTATTTTTTATTATTCCATTGCTCCCTTTAGCATTAGGGGAGGAAGTAAGCTGACTTGATTTATTTGAGAGTCCTGCATAATGAGGATGACAGGAGGACAGTCATTTCTTTTGTCCAGTTACAGGTCTTTTAGTGTAATCCACAGTATACCTGGACACAAAATGGAATTTCTTTTGGGATCTCAAAATGAAGGCTGGAGACAAAAAAATAAGGGTAAAAACATTCTTTCTGCGGGCTTAGCAATTCTACCTCCAGCTACTCAATACAAGGCAAACGCAATAATCAGAAGCATCTTTTAATGGCTTTTGGTCGGTTCTCTACTAGTTGTCTTTCAGTCACGGGTACAGAGAAATATTTCAGCTGGCAGTCACAAGTCTGTGGAAACTGATTTTCTGTGTTCTTTCATAGAATCATAGAATTGCTGAGGTTGGAAGGGACCTCTAAGATCATCAAGTCCAACCATTAATCTAACCTGACAAAACCACTTCTAAATCATGTCCCCAAGTACCACATCTACCCTCCACCCAAACACCTCCAGGGATGGTGAACCCACCCCTTCCCTGGGCAGCCTCTTCCAATGTTTGATAACCCTTTCAGTGAAAATTTTTTTCCTAATATCCAACCTAAACCTCGCCTGGCATAACTGGCACCCATTTTCTCTTGTCCTATCACTTGTCACCAGGGAGAAGAGGTCAGCTCCCACCTCTCTACAGCCTCCTTTCAGGTAGTTGTAGCGGGTGATAAGGTCTCCCCTCAGCCTCCTCTTCTCCAGGCTGAACAACCCCAGGTCCCTCAGTTACTCCTCATAAGACTTGTCCTCCAGACCCCTCACAATGAAGACAGACACAATGAGGACAGACCCCATTGTATCCTGTTTTTTGGGTTTGGTGGTTGGGTTTGTTTTTTTTGGCTAATAGTTCCATTAATGTAAGCAGATTTCTGTTTCCGGACCAATGTGCACTTTAATAAAAAATAAGATATATTTTATTTTTAAAGTCAAAGAAAGGAAGGTCCAAAAAAAGTGTTATAAACCATGAAATGATTATGGGAAAGACCCGAGTGCCCTTAACTTCCCTATTTTAATGTGATAATCTCTCATAATATTGGGGTGTATGCATCCAGGCGTACTTTTTATATAATTATGACACAGTATGTACATGTTGGTAATGAGTGTTCATGAGGTATTTGAAAATCCCTTGCAATGTTCTTGTAAAACTTTGAGATGGCTTTTTCTTTTTTTTTTCCCCCCCCCCAGTATTGTAGCACAGGAAATCTCCATATGTATCTCCAGATTTGGAAAAGCTCATAATTTAGAAATAATATGTGGCCTGAAGATAATGACGTTGACGATTGTGATAACCATGATAATGATATAGTATTACAATAATGGCATCAACAAAGAAAGAAACCTCAGCAAAAGCCAGCACTTGCTTTTCCCAGTGGATTCCCACCTCATAATTGCTCTCTACTGAGAGATGCCATCAATGATGGGATTAGCTGCAAGATCAGTTGTAGTCCAGGATCAAGGACTTCTGAGGAGCAAACTAGAAATTAAAGGAAACTTCAGGAAAATTTACACTCTCAAATGTGTGGATTAAACTGAGCTGAAAGTTGGAGTGTCCCTGACTGTTTCTGATTTCAGATAGTCACTGGGAATCTGTCCACCTTTTGGTGTCACTTTGACGATACTTTAGACACTTCGATATCTAAAAGGTTGCTTTTATCTATTGGATATGCAAGTGAAATAAGAGTCGCAGAAATCCTCTAATACCTGTAAATGGTCTTTGATATAAGCAGGAAGTCTCAGCAGTTTATATTAAATATAAATAACTCTCTGTTCAGGTCTAAATTCAGCTTTAAGCTGTAGTTTGAGGGTTACTTAAAACATAAGGTTGTTTTGGACATCTGCCTCTGTGTATTCGGGAATGCTCACAAAATACTTTGATTCAGAGAGTATTGAGATTCCAATATGAATTTTATCATATCTCAGAAATAAACCTAAGCACACAAAAAATATTGCCTGCCCTCCTGAGGATTTAATGGTAGGCTGTATTTTATCTTTAAGAAGAGAGAAAACTTATGTAAGGGACTTTGAAAGAAACACCTCACAGCAGGTTATTTCTGATAAATGTCTGGGCATAGTTGTCACATAAGGCAGTAAAAGAAGAATATCTGTGTATAAGCAGCTTACTATGTGGTGCAACTCCAAAGAGAATAGAAAACTGATATTAATTTCATGAATCATGTTTTAGGATGAAAGATGCATTAATTTCACCCATCACTCTTTTAGATGAAAGAATCTTGCGTGATGTAATGCATGTGTTATGTTACATGATAATTGAAATCGGGTAATAAACAAAAACAGAGCATGAAACAATTTCATCACTTTGTGGAGCTATCAATACAAAAAATGTGCTGTGTCAACTAATTGGATCCACATTCACAAAACCAGCTTCTCATCCCTCGGGCAGTCTGAACTGTATAAAAGCTCTCTTCACTCAAGGTTCTTCCAACCCCTTCTCTTCATTCGTTCTTCACAGCATATTGGGTAAGTCTGAATCTGCTCTTTACAACTGTTGGAATAGGCCTTTGTCCTACAGTTTAATCTAGGATGGTCTCTTCCATTAAGAACTAGTGGGTATGATGTTAGGTGAAAAGATAAAGCTTACAAAAACGGTTATAAGTGTTATGGACATCTGTTCTCTGCATTCAGGGTTGGCATTTAATTTCAAAGCGAAAAAGTTTCTTGATAAGACAGAAAATTAAGGTCATTATTAGTTCACTTCCATCAGGTGAAGAAATGATGTGACTAGGTCAATATGCATTCTTCTTCCCTCTTTGTTTATACGGGTAACTGGAAATTATTTGAAAGAGTTTAAATCTTCATGGTTCACAGGGAAATGCTGAGCTTAGAAGCAGACCTTCTGTTCTCTCCAGTTTATTCTACTACAGATCGCTCAAGGTGTTTTTACATTAATTCAAGATAAATGGGCACAAATACCATCAGTGGCACTGATGGTATTTAATATTTTATAAGCACTGGCTTAGATAGAGAAGGGGACAGAGAGGAATTGAGAGCTGTTGAAAATGGTCTGTAAGAAATTTACTTCATTAAGAGAAAGAGGGGTCTTGGAGGGAATTTAAGAAGCTGACAGACGAAGCGCTGGGTTTCTCATCTTAATGGGGGCAAGTTGTTTAGGGTGAAATTTTTTCTAAAGAGTTCAGAGCCCAGAATGAAAACAGCGTAGTGTTAAGCTAATTGTAAATATCTCAGTGCCCTGATTCAATGTTTGGAAATTGGGGACAATAATTTTTGCAATTCCCTTGTAATGGTCTCATCAAACAAGTTACTGAGCAAATCTGAATAGACAGTGGCTTGTAATCCCTGTTCTCACAAGGCTCAGCACAAAGGAGATCAGTGGGAATGAAGAGTTAGAGTCATGAAATCATGCATAACAACATGCTCCATTCCTGGAATCCCAGTTCTTGCTGATCCACTGACTCACCAAAGCATCTGAGCAAATAATTTTGCTATTCTGCTTCAATTTTCATTTCTAATAGAGATGAGTAAATTGGTGTACTTCAAAGCACCTCTGTCTGAGGAAAGGCAGCTACTTCTATAGCACTTTTATGTATGTAAATAATGTCTTGTACTTGGTAAAATCAGCTCTTGTAGATTGACCTCCATCCCTGCGAGATGGCTTGCTACGACCTGTGCTCCACCTCCGCCTGCGGCGTCTACCGCCCCCAGCCCCTCGCTGACAGCTGCAACGAGCCGTGCGTCCGTCAGTGCCCGGACTCCACCACTGTGATCCAGCCACCTCCAGTCGTCGTCACCTTCCCCGGCCCCATCCTCAGCTCCTTCCCCCAGGGTTCAGTTGTGGGGTCCTCTGGAGCACCCATCCTTGGGGGCTCTGGGGGTTATGGGGGCTCCCTTGGCTATGGGGGTTATGGCTCCCTGGGCTATGGGGGTCTGGGGGGCTATGGGGGCTCCTCCCTGGGCTATGGGGGTCTGGGGGGCTATGGGGGCTCCTCCCTGGGTTACAGGGGTCTGTATGGCTATGGTAGATCCTACAGTTCTGGCTCTTGCAGCCCTTCCTCCT